CTGGGGAAAGAGACCTGACGGCGGACGGTAGGACCTTAAGCCTAGGTTTCTAAACAGCTCACCAAGGGCCATGAAGGGGCCTGTGGGGTAAATGCTTCTCTGTCTCACACCTTCTGTGGCTTATGGTGCTGAGCTGTAGACAGAGCCCCCCTTGGGATTTCGCTAACAGACACCAGCTCTGAGCAGGCCCTAGGCTCTGCCTGTCTTTCCTCTAGTGCTTTCTCCCGTTTCTCCTCCTCGATTCTCTTCATCTTGTTTCCTTTCCCTTCCCTGTCTCCTTGTTTTGTTTCAGCACAGTGACCTAAAGACACCAAGGGTACACAGAGAAAGTATAGCACACTTTCGATGGGGCACACGAAATCATTTAAAATTCCAGGGTCATGCATGATGTGGGAAACCAGAGTTGGAAGCACCGCAGAGATCATAAGTTCAAATCTGTTGCTTTCATAATTCCGAAATAGAGGCTCATAGAAGAAACACTCATTTCAACGTCATCTCAGATGGCTTTCCCTGGCCTATGTCCTGGGGCTGGGGAGGGGCAAAACCTGCCACAGGGTGGGGGCAAAACTAGCCTGGGGGGGGAGCAAAACCAATCACAGAGGGAGGGGGCAGGGGGATGACTTTGGTTGGTTTCAAGTTTATTTCAGAAATATTGCTCCTAGCAGAGGTAGAAGGGGAGTTGACTTCACAGAGAGCTGGCAGGAGAAAGAGAGGAAGGGAGGGAGGAAGGGATGCCAGACCTGAGGAGGAGTCACGTGTGGGACCCGCCTGAAGGGGCACCTGGGAGACTGAAAGCACACCTGGGAATTAGTAAGTTTAGAAATTCTTTGAGAAAGTAAGGTGAATTTTCATGTTCGATAAATTAAACTATATTAAAGAATTTTTTATTCAAGGGTTAGGCGTAGTGGGTAAAATGCTTGCCAAGAAACAGTGAGGCAGAACCAGGGATCCCCCAGCTTGTGGATTAGTGAGGTCCTGGTTCAGACAGAGCTCTGACTTAATATAGAAGGGAAAGACACCCACCGTCAACCTCTGGCCTCCGCAACACGTGCACAAACCGATGTGCAGCAGCAGATGTGATCATCCCCCAAGCATATGCGTGCTTTCCACCTCACGCACATACATATAAAAAGGGGACTTTTATTCAGTAAGGCAAAGGCATTGTTATTTGCAAAGGCAGCCCTCTAGGCAGACACTGTCCATCTCAGACCTCGGAGTGACTCTCTCTATCTCAAGCCAGGAGGAAGGCGAGGGGAATGAACTGGGTGGGTGACCCTGCCTAGGAGTTTGGGAAACTAAGCTTATGCCTTTCAAATAGAAAAGGCCGTCCAAGGCAAGGAAATGAGGTCCCTGACAGTGATGGGGCTCCTCTCATAAGTACCCAGGTACAAAGGAGGCAGGTTACAATGTGGGAGCTGTACCTTGGATAAAGGAACCCATTCCCAGCCTAATCCAAGCAACTTGTGGCTCTGAACACTTGAAATATGACTAATTTAAATAAAAATATGCGGGTAAAAAGAAATATTTCAAGTAAATAAATATTGGAGGGAATCAGACATAAAGAGACCTTTTTTGACTTAATAAAAGATACGAGAAAAAAGGGAATCAAGATGCCCCCAGTGTGGTCTTGGGCAGGAGCAGGACAGGGACCTGATGGGCTGTGATGGGGGGGCGGTGCAGGGACCACCATCAAGTCAGGTTGACCAGTGTCAACTACTGAATCTGCAGTGCCACCTAATGGTTGACATTGATAGGTGACTGACCAGAGTTGGGGGTGAGCAGAGAAGTAGATAGATGTTTTGGTATTCCCAGATGACTCCAACCTGGCCAGTGGCATAGTGTGCAGTAGTCCCAGATAGGGTCCCTTCCTGTTTCTGCCTCCCCAGAGCTGGGGTGACAGGGTGTGCACACCTGGTTTACATGGGTGCTGGAAGCTGAGCCCATATCCCCTGGTATTCACTAACTAAGGCATCCGGTGTTTTTTTCCTATCTCCCCCCACCCATTTCCTTCTTTTCTTAAAAAATATTCTTATAGCTGGGCAGTGGAGTTGCACGCCTTTAATCCCAGCACTTGAGAGTCAGAGGCAGGTGGAACTCTGTGAGTTCAAGGCCAGCCTGGTCTACAGAGCTAGTTCCAGGACAGGCTCCAAAGTTATGCAGAGAAACCCTGCCTCAAAAAAAACAAAACAGAAAACTTCTTATTACATGTGTCTGTTTTGTTGGGGGTGGGTGCATGTATGTGCCATGGCAAACATGTGAAAGGCAGAGGACAACTTGCAGCAGTTGCTTCTCTTCTTCCACTAGGGAGGCTCCAGAGGTCAAACTTAGGTTTTCAGGTTTGGCAACATGTGACTTTACCAACTGAGCCATCTCCCTAAACCTTAACAATTTTTTGTTTTAACTTACTCCATATAAAAATGGGGGTTTCAGAATTTTAATATAAAGATATTGGGACCTAAATAGTTTTGAACTCTGACCCACTCCTGTTCACGTGACCCAGCCTGCCTGAGGAGGAGAGTACTGAGCCCTGTCTCAGCTGGACAAGTAGATTGCTGGGCCCTCCTGATCTGTGAGGAAGCTAAAAGTACTGAGACATTTGTATTCTCTGCCTCTGACAGGCTTGTGAGCTCAGCACTTCTGAGACTGAGGCAGGAGGATGGAGAATTCCTGGTCAAGCAGGTGCTCTCAAAAAAACAAAACAAAACAAAACACATACACACACATAGTAAAAACTGGGCATGGTGGTGCACACTTTTAATCCCAGCACTCAGGATTTAACAGGCTGGAGAAATGACTCAACTGTTAAGAGCCCTTTTGCTCTTGCAGGGGAGCTGGGCTCAACTCCCAGCGTGCACATGGTGGTCCACAACCATTTGTACTTTAGTTCTAGTGGATCTTCTGGTCTCTTTAGGCACCAAGCATGTACACGGTGCACATACATACATGCAGGCAAAACACACACACAAAATGAATAAATTACAAAAAAAAAAACTAGTAAGGGGCTGGAGAGTGTGTGTGGCTCGTGCAGAGGAGCAGGGGGCTGGAGAGTGTGTGTGGCTCGTGCAGAGGACCAGGGTGCAGAGGAGCAGAATTCAGCTCTCAGAACCCATATTAGGTTGCTCACAACCACACTCAGCTCCAACTCGAGAGGCTCTGGCACCTCGTCTGGATTCTAAGGGCACCTGTGCTCGTGTGCTCACCCACACACACACATAATTAAAAGTGATATGAATAAAACTTTTAAAAAATTCAGTCAAACTTTTAAAAGTACCAATACTTCTACTGCTAATAATAATGTAAAAATTATATTTTTAAAAATCCCCTTGAGGGTGCACCCACACACTGAGACAATGGGGATGTTCTGTCGGGAACTCACCAAGGCCAGCTGGCCTGGGTCTGAAAAAGCTTGGGTTAAAACTGGTCTCGCTGAACATAGCGGACAATGAGGACTACTGAGACCTCAAGAACAATGGCAATGGGTTTTTGATCCTACTGCACCTATTGGTTTTGTGGGAGCATAGGCAGTTTGGATGCTCACCTCACTAGACCTGGATGGAGGTGGGTGGTCCTTGGACTTCCCACAGGGCAGGGAACCCTGATTGCTCTTTGGGCTGACGAGGGAGGGGGACTTGATTGGGGGAGGGGGAGGGAAAGGGGAGGCGGCGGTGGGGAAGAGACAGAAATCTTTAAGAAAGAAAGAAAGAAAGAAAGAAAGAAAGAAAGAAAGAAAGAAAGGAAGGAAGGAAGGAAGGAAGGAAGGAAGGAAGGAAGGAAGAAAGGAAGAAAGAAAGAAAGATCCCCTTGAGAGACTCTTTGGGGCATGTTTTCCCCAATCTTGCATAGATAAGGAATTTCTTTGTCCATATCAGTTTTTATAACTTTTGGCCACAGCAGCACTATTGCAATGTGTGGTCCCTTTCTGGAATTTGCTTTTAATATGCATTTTTAAGTCATACCATTATATTCTCTCTCTCTCTCTTTGCTATGTTTGGACAAACCCATCTGATCTTAGTTGATAAGCTTCATCTCTCTAATAAATCTCTAATTTATTGCTCTTTTATAGGAACACTCATCTAGGAGAATGGATATGATCTTGGGAAGCAATTTTTTTCAAAACTCATGCTAGAGTTGTAGAAAATTTTTGTTAAAAATTTATGTAGACACATAATTAAGACTCTTCTGGCTTAGGCTCTCCCTAAAGCACTGGGGAGAGGAGGCAGCTCCTGTTAGGTTGGTACACACACGCACGCACACACATATTCATGAAGTCATACATCTACATAAATACATATATAATAAGTATGTGCCAAAAGATTTCATGGTAGGCAAATACATATCAACATACGGGCACTCAAACACAGAGTCCTAATGAAGCAATAAGAGGAACCATGTTGCAGACTCCACGGCTTCTAAACACCTTCCCAAAACAGTGTCTTAAGGCAACCTCATGGACAGATTGATTAAATAGCCCCCAGTCAGGGCTTACAGCGGAGCTGAGCACTGCCAAGTGCTTTCAACGTGTCTCATTTGCTCTGCATAGCAGCTTGTGGTGTAGCTACTGACTGTGTCGCCATTATACAAAGAGGTTAAGTGGTTTGCTCAAGGCCGCTCAACTGCTGAGCTAGGAGAAGGCAGGCAGAGTTCATTCAACTCTTGCATGTGATGCATATCCTAATCCCACCCACAGGGGGCGCCATTGATGTCCTTAGGTGAAGAATGTGATGGGGGGGAATCTTATTATCTTAGAATTTAGAAAAATAGGATTTGCTATGTATTTATCTTATTTCCATTGAAAAAGTCCCTGAAGGTAAAACAAGGGTAAAGCGTTGTCTGGGCTGCCAGTAACAATTTGCAAACGACTCCTGGAAGCTACCTCAGCCTCCCGGAGGTGGCATCACTGTCCACATCATAAGTGAAGTGGCAGGGAGGCCGATCCCAGGCAGGCCCAGGTTCGTTCTTTTCCTGCATCCATCCGCTTAGGGACCGGACTGAAGCTAGAGTCTCACGCTTCGTTCCTATCTAGGCCCAGAGCAGAAGCCTTCACGTGGACTGTTTCACAACCTTGGCTGTGGAAACAGGAGCCTTAAGACTATGGCTGGAGACAAGACCGTCACAGAAAGCAGAGGGCTTCAGTTGTGACCTTGAATTTCGTCTCGACTGTGCTCAGAAACCCTCAATCTCCGAGTCCATTCATGCCCTTGGCATCTGTCCAACCTCCATTCAGAGGTGGCAACAGCCCAGCAAAGAGTGCCTGCCGCAATTAGCACCCCGCGCAGGAGCCCATCCTATAGACAGCTGGCCAGCTATCCATAATTCTCAGGGAAAGGTGTCCCCGTGTCTCCCTTGGCTTTGGCCTAAGACCACCACTCTTCCCCAACACACTCCTCAAAATCCTTCCTGGATTCCTAGTCTATCTCTCTCTATTGGCCTATCGCTCTGGTCCCTGACCGGACCCCTTGACCTTGCCCTCAACTTCCCCCTCCCTGCGCAGGCTCTCTTCTCAAGGCAGCCTAGACTGAGGTTCACTGCAGACAGCAGTCCGGCAGGGAGACTCACAGGTAAGGCTGACAATGACCTTAGCATCTGATGCCCCGTTAACTTCCTCTAGCACAGGGAGGAATTTCTCTAATGGCTCTTTACCGGGGTCCCGATCTCATTGCGCCAAGCCACCAGTGCATGGGTGCCTACTGGGGGCTGCAGTCCCTACCCACCCTTCCAAAGTAACCCTCAGGTTCCCAGGCTTTCCTATCACACTAGGTAACTGAACTCAGTGGAGCCCTGGTGGTGGATGGACAAGACACTTTCCTTTTTATTTGGTCGTTTTTCCGGCCTCTCAGATTAACAGCAGCCCAGACATGGTAAGAGGGCCACAGCATGTGCCCTCAGATCAGAGCAGCTGTCCACCACAAAATCCCACGAGTCCCACTGTCCAAATGCAGCAAGAGCAAAGAGGGTTCAGAGGCACAGAAAAGCAGAGGCCACTTTCCAGGAAGAAAAGGTTGGCCAAGTCCAAACCTAAGATCTCACTCCTTCAGCACCCCAGGCTAGGGTGTGGGAAGGCTGCCCTGGCCCCCAGAGTTCCTTCCCACTGGTAAGGCAGCCACCCAAGTCGCACCCCATCTAGTTTTGCTCTGTCCGGGAAGACTTTTGCAGTCGTCATTCTGCCAGCTAAATTGGTTTCCCTCGGGGGGGGGGGTAGGCGAGTCAGGAGTGCTGATAGCCCATCCCGGAGCCCCACCGCCACGGAATCGATCCAACAGGGGGAGTCCCGGGACATCGGCGCCAGCTTCCCCCGGAAGCCTGGGCCAAACCGGGCCCTTCAGCCACCACCCTGGGCCGCCCCAAGTGCGCGTGCGGGGAGCACGAAGCGCAGCGCGGTGCAGGCGGCACTAAGGAGTTGGTGGCATCCCGGCGCACGAGACCAGGCGCTGGGGGCGGCGGCGCGGACCGAGGAGTACTGAAGCCGGAGTCCCCTGCGCCTGCGCCTTGAGCAGCTTGGCCTTGACACTCCAGGTGGCTGCAGGGCCAGCGGGGCGCCGGGCTGGCACGCAGCACCAGGGAGAGCGCAGTGATGCGGTGTATGGCCCTGCGCAGCGTGGCGATCTTGGAGAGCCGCTTGCCACCCAGGTCGTGCTGCAGCGCCCGGCGCAGTGCGTTGAACGCCTCGTTGTAATCCAGGATGCGATTACGCTCCCGCACGTTGGCCGCCATGCGCCGCGCCTTGGACCGGGCGGGCCGCTCGCGCCTTCTGCCTGCCGCCTCCTCTGCCTCATCCAGGCTGCGATTCAGCGCTCCAAAATTCCTGCCAGCCTTGGGGCAAGAGCGACCCAAGTCCTCCACAGAACCCTCACTCCGCTTCAGTTCCCTGAGGCCTAGTCCTGGCGTGCCTCGGAGCATGGCCTATGCCCTGGCCCTGCAGCTTCTGCTTCGGGTCCAAAGGGCTGCTGGTCCACTCTGACTGTTGGCGCTCGCTGGCTGGACACTCTCTGGACAGGCCCTCTCTAGCCGGGCTTTATGACACCACGTGGCTCCCCGCCCTCCCAGTCCATCCATCTCCCTCCTCCTGCTTTATTACCTGCCCCCAGGTAAGATGGTGAGGGAGGAACTGAGAGGAAGGAAGGAAGCCACGAAGGAAGCGTGCAGATTCTTGTACACAGGACCAGCTGGGTAGAGGCGGTGCTCTAGTTGTCACAGGGAACATGCTTGTTCTGCTCACGGACCCTCTGGTGCGTCTGGGTTCTGTTTCTGTCTCCTGTTCCAGATAGAATGCCACATTTGCTTCTGGGCAAGAGCGCAGGCAGGCGTTCAGGAGAATAGTAATGGTGGATTGAGTGAGTTTTAAGAACCCCGAGTAAGGGCACCTGCTGCCAATCTGTGGGCAACCAGAGTTGACACTAAGGTTTAGCATGACCATCCCAGAAGAATCCAGAAAGGAGGAGCAGATCGGATGCAGCAAGTAACCTTGAGCTACCACCACGAGGCTGGTACGGATTCTGGGTTGGGGTTTGGACTGAGCCCAGCATTTCCCCTACCTCTCTCGTGCTCTCCCCCCCCCCCCGCCCCCCGTCTGCAGACAGAGCTGGGCTGAGTCAGAAGCAAAGACTGGGGAAGACTTTTATTTCTGGCTTGTCTTGCAGTACGGTCAGAGAGCAGCCCTTAAAGTCCAGGGCCTTGGAACACCTCTATCCCACGACACAGTATGGTCAGGTTATGAATGCAGTGGACAATCCCATTGCCATCACCAGGACTGGGATCGTAAACAAGATCAAAAAAGAGAAAGAAGAAGAAGGAAGGATAATACTTACTCCTAGAACACATCCCCAATGAAATTTTAGGAATGCATTCATGGTTTATCAGGAGCAACATATTAAGATTAATCTCATTCCCAGTCACATTCCAAATGTTGTGGCACTAGCCAGGATGGGCACACAGGTCACATTCATGTTGCCAATAACTTCATTACTTTAAGCTGAGTTTTCTCACAGAGGAAAAGAACAGGGGCCACTGGGAAACAAACTTCATGGATTTACGTATCTGTCTTGGTCACTTGACTGAAAATAACCTAAAAACTGTATTTTTCAGGGTCAGTTGCTCCAAAATGTCCAATATATGTGGAATAGAAAGCAGCTAAGCCCAGTATGTAGCCATCATCTATAATCCCAGCACTTGCTGGGTAGAGGCAAGATGGCCAGGAGCTGGATACCAGCTTCAGTTACATAGAAGTTTGATCCCAGCCTGGGCTATATGAGACCTTGCCTCAAGAACAAAACAAAACAAAATTTTAAAAAGTGGCTAGAAGGCCGGGCGATGGTGGCGCACGCCTTTAATCCCAGCACTCAGGAGGCAGAGGCAAGAGGATCACTGAGAGTTCGAGACCAGCCTGGTCTACAGAGCTAGTTCCAGGACAGGCTCTAAAGCCACAGAGAAACCCTGTCTCGAAAAACAAAAAAAAAAAAAAAAAAAAAAGTGGCTAGAAGCTAGGTGTAGTGGTGCATGCCTGTCGTCTCGGTGCTCAGAAAGGCTGATCAAGATCACCAGTTTGAGGCCTGTTTGTGCTGCTTATAAGGACCTTGATCTAGAAACAGCTGGGGAGGAGGGAGTTTAGCTCAGTGGTAGAGTGTCTATGCATAAAACTCTGCTTCAAAGCCTCATATTACAAAAAAAAAACAAACATAATAAAACAGCAAAAAAGTATACAGCAGATATTCCCAGTATCTGGGCACTACTTCCCACCATCACCACCATCACACTCAAACAACAGGATGCCAGTGTAGATGGACCTCAGAACAGAAGACAGGCCAGGCCAAAGCCCAGGCATCCAGCTCCGGAGTGCCATATTCCGTGGGTGCTCTATTGTGTTTTTTCACCTGCTGAAGGCCTGCTAGACTACCGAGTTGTGGCCCTGTTCATCCAGGTTGACTCAGGGACTCAAGGCCTTGCCCAGCCTCTAAGAAAAGCCTGACTCTAGGGTGGAGAGCCTAGGACAGGGTGGTACACTTCAACAGTTTGGTACCAAAGGATGCTTGGTGGTGATGGGGCTCTTCCTCCCATCTGCTCCAGCCAGTGACTCCTTGCAGAGCAAACCCGTGTCTGTCATCTCATCCGCTCACCTGTTCCTTTTGTTTTATGTGGAAGATACCTTCTCTGTGAGAGTTTAGCCAGGGGGCTGATGGGATGGCTCAGTCAGTAAAGTGTCCGCTGCACAAACAGAGAGACCTGTTCAGATCCTCAGCACCCATATTAAAGCTGGACATAGCATCTGTAATTCCAGTGCTGGCCAGACAGAGACAGGTAGGCCCCTGGAGCTCACTGTCAAGCCAGCCTCCCCATACTGAGGAGCTCCCCATACTGAGGTGAGAGATCGCATCTCAGAGCTACGAGATGGAGAACAACTAAGGAAGACACTTGGTTAAACTGGGATTGATGGAGGGGGTGTGGAACTAAAGGAAAGCAGACAGGTAGGCATCCCCGGCCACAGAATTATTCTAATCAGAACAACTAAAGGGTCACTCTCCGCTGGAGCAGGGACTGTTTGATGTGGGTTCCCCTCTGTATGCCATGAATACCATTGGTTAATAAAGAAACTGTCTTGGGCCTGTGCAGGGAATAGAGGTGGTGGTGGGGGGCTAAACTGAGTGCTGGGAGAAAGGAGGTGGAGTCAGAGAGAAGCCATGTAGCCCCATGGACAGATGCTGGAACTTTAGCCTGTAAGCCACAGCCACTTAATAAAAAATGGGTTAAATTAATATGTAAGAGCTAGCCAATAAGAAGCTAGAGCTAATGGGCCAAGCAGTGATTTAATTAATACAGTTTCTGTGTGGTTATTTCGGGACTGAGCTGCTAAGCAGCCAGGAACCAACAAGCGGCTAACAACTATTCCTTCACACAAAGGGACAGGGAGTTTGGGGCTCTTTACAGGGTAGGAAAGGGTTGGATGAGAGATTTCATCTGCAGGTCAGTTCCCCCGCAGTCTTAAAGCAGTGGACACCTCAAACAGGCACACGCCTCTAATCTCAGCACTTGAGAGGCAGAAGCAGGTGGATCTCTGTGAGTCTGAGGCCAGCCTGGTCCACATAGAGAATTCCTGGACAGCCAGAACTACTTAGAGAAACCCTGTCTCAAACAAACGAAAAAGGGCAAACACTACTGGAAGTGGTGTGTGTTTCCTCCTCTTGCCGTCAGTCACATCCGCTGGCCCTGTCCAGCTGGGCTGTTAGGTCACTAACCCTCCATACCATGTCAACACCTAACCCCCACTTGTGTGCACAAACATGTGCACACGCTCCTGCCTGCACGGATACATATACTACACACAGGCACACCAGAAAAAGAGAGAGACAGACAGGCAGACAAAAAGAGTGTAGACAGGACTATGCCACCTACCAGGCCAAGTGGGAAGCCAAATAAAAGTGTGGAACCCTTTCTCAAAATTATTAGGAATTTGAAGATGGGGGCAGACAGCATTTCACCAAGCCCTGGTGTTTGGAAAAGCTGCGTCGTTGCCAGACCCACGAGGGTAGGAAAGAGCTCAAGCGTTGGGTAGACGCTTATCTGGATACCCAGCAAGACCTTCACTACAGCCAAAGATGGGCAAGCCCTGCACATTCCCGTCACCGTGGACAGATGGAGGGGACCAATCCAAACAAGCTGTCCTTCCTCCTCCATCTCCAGAGAGCTCCCCGGAAGCAAAGGGGAAGGTGCCAGTGGGAGATAAATAGGCTTAAATTGCTTCTGACGCCCTCCTTCCTCCAGTGACTCAGTATTCTAGAACTCACACTCGGCTATGGACACTATGCAGCTTAGTAATAATTAATCATAAAAATAATAATCTTAATAGTACTGATACCGACTTCTGCGAAGTGTTTACTGTAGCCAAGGCTTCGACTAAGTGCTTTTAAGCATACATTATCTTAGCCTCCCAGCAATCCTATATGGAAGGCCTATTATTATAATACCTATTGTACAGACTGCAAACAGAAACCCAGACAAGGAACTTAGGCCACGCCAGTGAACTGACCCGGAGTTTAGCTCCCTTCTCAGCTGGGCCTGCACTCCTAGCTCATGAGCACACGTAGTACCCAGAGTCCCCACTGACCACCTGTAGCTGTTAGAGGCCTGGCATTTATTTGTCTTTTGAAGTAAAAACTTTCAAAGAACCGGGGCTGGAACTCGGTGACAGAACACTTGCTTATCGTGAGCAAGGGCCGTGGATCGGTTCCCAGTGAGAATTCCTAGGAATCGCCTGGATGTCATTCCACACCAGCGCCACTTGTGTGGTGGCACCGCAAATGTCAGCATAGGAAGGCCAAGGCTGGAGAATTGAGAGCTACAGAGTGAGACCCTGACTGTCTGTCTGTCTGTCTGTCTGTCTGTCTGTCTATCTATCTATCTATCTATCTGTTTTTTTTTTTTTTTTTTTTTTTTTTTGAGACAAGGTTTCTCTATAGCTTTGCAGCCTGTCCTGGAACTAGCTCTTGTAGACCAGGCAGGCCTCACAGAGATCCACCTGCCTCTGTGGTGAAGCACATCTGTAATCCCAGCACACGGGAGACAGAGGCAGGAGGTTTGCTAAAACCACTTTGGTCCGCATAGCAGGGGACAGTCAGGGTCAGTCAGGGTCTTAACCACAGCAAAGTTTCCCTTTCATAAAAACATTGTTCAGGGGAGGCAGAGGCAGGCAGGTCTCGGTGAGTTTGAGGTCAGTCTGGTCTACAAAGTCAGTTCCAGGACAGGCTCCAAAGCCCAGGGTGACTGCAAACAGAGTACTACTGTCTTTCTCTGCTCACTGAGCATTGTGACTCCAGCGAGCAGAGAAAGTATCTCGTGTTTGCAGCTAGCCTGGGCAATTTAGTGGGACCCTGTCTCAGGAGGGAAAAAAAAGGAATGAGAAGAAAGAGAAAAGAAAAAGAAGAGACCGCAGCTGTACATCACTAACTTTGGGACCAAGCTTTCTTGATCTTTGGCTGCTGGGTGAGCACTTTGGGATCCCATCAGGGATCTTCAAAGCGCTTCCGCGGCACCTGCGGCGCTGGCCCTGGAGCCGCCCCTGCCGGCAGCTCTGTAGCTCCGCAGCTCCTGCTCGCCAGGAGGAGGAACCCCTGCAGGTGATTTAGGGCGGGGCGGTACCGCTGGCGGCCGCCAAGGTGCCTATTAACTCCCAGGCTGGCCTGGATTGCAGAAATTCTTCTCCGGCATCGCTCCCTCGGGGGGAGCTCAGGATCCCACCTTGGAAGAAAACGGAGGAGCCACGCTTAAGAAGAACACACTTAGGAGAAAGCCCCTGTGTGTCTACCCTACTAGACCCAGGCCCCCTCGCTTTGCCACTCCGACCATGGCTTAGAATAGGACATCATGCTGTTATTCAATAACAGAAGACAACAAAATCAGTATGAACCCAACGCTTTCTGCATGCCATACTAAGTACATACTCTACCACTAACCCACGCTGTCGCACAACTGCCAACAACAGAACTATTTTCAAAGGGCTTGATTCCCAGGACCCACACGGCAATCCAGTTCCAG